GGAGCAGCCCTGTGTTGGCAGCCTCACTCCTTGAGTTTTCTGCCAGCTGGGGCTACTCCAACCCAGCTCAACATGCTGCTGACCTGGGTGCATGTTTAAATGCAGTACCTGGGAGCAATAAATACCAGTGTGATATGCACTGGAGTTTATTGCATTCCATTAATTGCACATGTGAACACGGCCACAGCTAGTGGCTTTACTTTTAAGTTAGTTAACTGGGGTGATTTGTGTAACCAGGACAAAAAGCATACATCCCAATTAAAACAGTTCTGCTATATCATGACCATAACTGTTGCAAATCATTTAATGCAGCAGTGTTAATATTTTTAGCATCCTAAAATGGGCATGGGGCAAGCCTGTGGGCTGGATTGCTACCCGTGTGCCAGGATTGGGCTCTGCACAGCCTTGGTGTAGCAGAATAGGGTCCTGGGGCCCTGCCCTGCCAACACACTCCAGGCTGCCTTCAACTGGCTCCCTATGGTGGGATGACGCTCTTGGGCGCCACCCCACTGTACCAGGATTGGGCCCCAGAGCCCTATGAGCTGTGCAGGGCCACACTGTCTAGCTTGCAAGGCTCCTCATAAAGCCAGAAATAGCAGCAGGGTAGCTGCTCTGTGCCCATAGGGTGGCAGAGCTGTTGTTTCACCACACCTGTTGAACACAAGCTGTGACAACATGCCAGGTCAGGAAAGCAACAGTGTCTTAAAGAAGAGAGAGGCAGAGCTGTACCATTTCTTGGGCAGCACACACCAGTACTGGTTCTGGCAGAAAACAGCTCGAGTTTTCAAGACATGCTGAAGAGTGCATGGATTATATGTCTTTGTAAATAATGCTGAACAAGTTTATCTTTGCTTACACTTGCATTTAAACCATGTTCAGCTACGGCCACCACCATCAATATGTGATTATTAGTATAGACAGGAACTGAAGGAGATAGGACGACACATGCTCTTCACCACGTAATACATTTGCTTAGGGGTTAAAATTTGGGTTTAAAACCTTTTCTTCCCATACTAATGCTTTATAGGGACCAATAGCAAGTAGGAATCAATTCCCAGGCATTTAGCAAACAAAGCCTGGCCAAAATACTTAGTAGATCTTTAGTTTCTTTTGATATTTTAGTTTTAAGCTCTGTTCTCTTCCTGTATGCTGCCTCAAGCCTTTGTTGGGAAGGGCAGCATATAAATCACATAATAAATAATTAATTACTTGTAGTATTATGCTAGGAAAGGTGGGGTAGAACCTATTGGTATATAACCATCTGTAGATACTACATAGTTTTTATGATTGTCTGTCATATTGTCTCTCTATATTAAAACTTAATGGTGGCTTTCACCAAAAAATTATATATCCCAATCAAATATTAGTTTCTAAGTAAAAACAAACAAGCAAACAAAACTCTGAAAAACCGCAGTGCGGAAAACAATGAAAACATTCGAAAGCTGCTGGGGCTTTTTTCATGCATCTATTTTTCTTTTTATATCTATTTTTCTCTCTCTAATTCTCTCTCTCTCTATTTTTCTTATATATATATATATACCTCTCTCTATATAGAGAAAAAAATATATATAACACCCCAGCAGCTTTCACGTGTTTTTATTGTTCTCCACACTGCAGTTTTCCAGTTGTATTTTTTTAACCTACAAACTAATATTTAGGAATGTATTTCCACACATTGTGGCTTCCAACACTGGCGGCTTATGATCACTATAATATGGACACATATGGTATGGACATATATTTTAGCTGCTTAAAAAGAGGAGGGAGAGCTGTTACCTGAGAGCAGCAGAAGCTGTTGTGATGTGTTGCATACACATGATTTCATACCAACACAAAGTGAGCTAAACCACATTAGCTTTGACCTTGCAGGAGGTTAGAGTCGGAGTGGTTCTGGCACACTTGTAGGCCTACAGAATCATGCATGCATAACTTGCATCGTAGCAGCCTGTATTGGGGTCTTTTAATGTTGATACCATTGTTCTATCTGTCTTTGCCCTTTTAGTTAAATATTAGAGGAATAAGACTGGCTTATCCTAACATATTTTACAAGGGTCTACTAGCTTACAGAAATAATGCACATTTTTCAGTATTTTTCCCAGATTGCCTTCTCATTTTTGTTAACATGCAAGTCTGGGAAGAGATCAAATGGCTAGTGTTTTATTTAAGGAGATACTAACCCTCTTAACCTTTGTTCCAAGCGTGATATGGACACGCTGCAGGAAAACAACAGAACTTTACAACACGAGGGACACTTTGATTAGCTGGAGAAGTGATTTAGAATATGAAATGAATGTAAGCTCCCCTTGCTATGGTCTCAACAGTCCAACGCTTTAAAAAACATTCACTGTGGAAAGTCAGATCACTTTTTTTCTTTTTTTGAGAGGGGGGGAGAGAGGCAGAGAGAGAGAGAGAGAGAACACATGTGTAGTCAAGATAGTCACCCTTTGCTGCAGGAAGAGGGACAAAGTTTAATCTGTCCAGGGAAAACTCCTAGACCCCTTTTCAGTAATAAGATCTATGGTTCCTCAACCATTTCTTTTCAAACAAGGAAGTTCCCCCTTTGGCACAAGCAAAGGCTTGTTTTGTACATGCAATGATAATGATGAAAGCTGGTCCATGAAAAAGAGAGGGGGCCTTGTGAAAATATCTAGCCTCATCTATTTTAATGAGATGCTAGGGCTCACAAATGTAAGCACTAATATTCTGATATGTTTCTTTGCTAGTGGCTATGTTTTACCTGCGCAAAATTTGCATGAAGACGCGTCAAAGGCAGTCGCTTACCAACAATCTGAAAAGCGGAGAATGAAATAAGAACAGTGATCGAGCACCTCCATCAGAAAGGACTGATTCTCAAAGGAAATCTATCGGGACAAGGTAGGAAATGCTGGCAAAGACTGGCTGTTTATATGACAAAGCAAAAATATTGGGCAGCTGACTGAGAATCAACCCTGAGGAGAAGCTACAGTCAGGATGCTTTAGAGAAGCCACTGCACAAGAACAAGTTGGTGCAGTCCACAACCAAGACCGGGGCATGAGAAAGGTGTTAATAAGATGGGCGAGCAGAATGTCAACAGCTGATCAGAGCACACTGGAGACTTGACATTTGCAGGAAACTTAAACAAACAACTCCCCCAACCCCCATGAGTAGACTTGGTGATCAGGTTGAGAGAACGGGTTTTGCACTTTGATCCAGAGACCAAGCAATAGTGCATGCAATGAAAGCACAACAGTCTCTACCTCCAGAGATGTTCAAGAACGTAGCATCAGATGGTAAAGTGGTGGTCAAATTTTTGGGACAGTGGAGAGTACGACTATGACTGAATACCTCTCAACAGATAAGACCACTGTTAGTGTGTAGCATGCTAGTAAACTAATTTGCACTTGCAAAGAAGCTGCTGAGAACAAGTGCTATTTAAAGGCAAGCTGAGGAATGGTGCTTCTCTAGGAAAATGCATTACCTCACACATCCAAAGATGAAGCAACTAGAGCAACCAAATGTGGTTTTGAATTGCTTTTCCATCCACCAGATTTGGCTCTATCTGGCTCCTATATCACTTTTCCCAAGTTGAAAGAAATCTTCTGTACAAAGAGTTTCTGGAGAAAGGTGATTGCAATAATTAAGGACTTTCTAAATCCGCAAGACAATAACTTCTACAAGACAAGCACAGCCAATTTGCAGCTGTCTTGAACCAGTGAGGACAAGAGACATCCATCAAGCCTCTTGATGACTAGATAATCTATATTGAAAAATAAACAATTGAGCACAGATAATGTTTGCTTCGTGGTCAGACTAGAAACTTTCTGAATGCCCTCATAAAAGTTCTTGCTTTTTAGTCTCTGCCCATTAATTCATATTTTAATAGGAGATTAATCCATGCCTGCAATCTTCAAACTCGACTAATAGATCCTGACAATGTCATGCATGTCACCCTTTTGAAAACTCATACATTCAGCAGAATTATCCAGCAGGTTATCAGCAAGTATAACAGTGTGGGTAGTGATACAGCAAAAATGAGGACTATGCTGCATCAATAGTGAGGAAGTTGAGAGAAACAGAGAACATGAGTTCTACAAGTGAATTGCTACTACTTGCCTGTGCTAACTAATTTGCATATGTAATTTGAGACACAGGTTTCCTCTTAGCTCTGATCATGTTTTATTAAAGTAAATACCCTGCAGATTTGATATACAGGCAAAATTCCTTTTTAAAAAGGTTTAAGCTTGACTTTATACACGTACGATAATTCTTAGTTTTGTTTTTTTAAAACCTGCTACATAAGAAAATATCTTCCAACTTCCATACAAAACAGTACTTTTTCTCTGCTGGTAGAAGACATTGATAAAATTTTTAACTGTCAAGTGGTCTGTGTAACCGTTACAAAAGTTGTATACAAAAACGTTCAATGCAAAAATGCCAAAGTACACTCTGACAGCTAATGCTCTGCGAACACTTTATTACACAAATTACATTCAGCTTCTGAAAATAGTGTTCTAACAGTGATACCATCTAAAAATAAGACATCCCAAAAACACATCAAATCAGGAGGAAGGAAAAAAAATTAAATAGACTTTTTTCTTTCCTTCAATGCAATATTAATGTTAGTGATTTTAAAAAAATAGAAGAAGATTTAGCAGCTTTGTTTTCTTGTGGCACTGTATTTTCTCTGTACTGCAATAGGTTAAGGACATTGAAGAGGAAAGGCACAAAAGAAAGAAATTGGCAACTGAAATGTTATGGGGAAAATATTGTCAAAGTAAATAAATGGGACTTATTTACAAGTACAGAAAAGGTCCCAAAACCAAAATGAGAAAATACTACTACTTTAAATCAGTACTGCAATAAAAAGAGGATTGGTTTCTTTATTAAGATGTTCACGTAAAGACAACGGCACTGATATGAAACTTCCATACACTCCTCCACTTAAAAGAACAAAACTAAAACTGAACTAAAACCAAAAACATCCCAGTGTACAGCCCCACGTAGACTAGTACAGTTTACAATTAAATACACAAAATCTTAAACGTGCTAAAGGGAAAGGAATCTGGCATTCTTGGTAGAATTGTTTAATGTAGAAATCAAAGGCTGGTTTCAGGATGATGAAGTCACTGGTGGGGGTGGGGGTGCTGAATACTCTTCTTCTGAGTCAGTGCCATCATCTTCATCTTTTTCTTGATCACTTCCTTCGGTGCTAAGTCGGTCAAACCCTTTTCGACTGTAGCCTTTGCGACTTGCAAAGAAGTTCCCAAGATTAAGGCCCGCTGTACCTTTTCCTGTAGAAATGAAATACCTGACATAAGCTTCTCTTTACTGATTTTGGGAGGAAGATATCCCATCTAACCATTCACCACTTTAATAGCATTTATCCTTTTTTCTAAAACCAATTTCTACCACGCTGTTTTCAAAGGCCAATATACAAGAACTGTCTTGGGAAGGCAGGCACATGGACTGTGGTAGAAGAAGTTCTACCCTTAAAAAAACTGTTAGAGCCATTACTTAGTTAGGATTAAGCTATAATTTTTTGAGCAGGCTCCCTCGTGCTCCCACAGATTTACATATAATTAGCAACCACAGAGGTAGCACTTCACTTCATTCTCTGTGAAAAGGGAAAAGTTAGTATTATAGCAACTGGCTTCCCTGTAGGAATTATAGATCATCTTCAATGGCCAGATGCCAACAAATGAAATGTGGTACAGAGGCAGGCATTTATATAAATGTATAATGAAAAATAGAGCTGAGAAGCCGTGCTTCCATGGCTTTTCGCACTGGGAAAATTCCCCAGGTAGAACTGAAATGCTCTCAGAACTGTTCCTGGACTGATTTTTATTTGAATAAAACCAAAGGTATTGGACTCAAAAGGTCACAAGCGTTTTGCATTTTGCTTACCTCGAAATCTGCCCAAGATTCTGCCTGAACCTGAGTCAAGTTTATGATCAGCATCAGCTGGAAAAAACAAGACACATTTCAAAATAAGCTTCAATAGTTCTGTTATCCAATTAAATACCAGTGTGCATTGTCTGAACCACTCAAATGGATCAGTAAAGTAGGGAAATAAAATTTATAATCACCCAGTTTTCTGGTTAGTATGGAAGTATAACTTGATAAAATAACTGGCATCCAGTAAGTGCTTAGTCTGTGCCACTGTTGCTACGAGTATCCTAGCAGTTAAAAAAAAACTAAACTGTCAGATCTGAGACTCTCTCTCTCAAGTGCTGGCTTATGTTACTGTGAAAGCATTAGGAGGAGAGAAGAACTTTGTCACTGTGCCCGGACAGCTCCATTCCAACACATGGCAAGATGCATCATGACATCTGAAAATGCATGTGGTACAGTATGTTCCTGTTGTATGCTAGACATGTGGTAAATACTAGGGTTGTGCCAAGTTTCGGGTGCTGATTTGATTTGGAAGAGATTCGGCTCAATTCGGTGGCCAAATCCGAATCAAACTGGGAGACCAATAAAAAGCTATGAATCGATTCAAAGCTCTCTGAATCAATTCAGAAAAGATTCAGAGAGCTTTAGAGATTTGGGCAGTCCTCACTTACTGCTGCAGGGAGCTGGAGCCAGACTCTGTGCCGGTGTGTAGGGGGTGGGGGAAGGAGGGCTGCAGGACAGAGGAGGGGATCATGGGGGGACCTCTGCCAGGTCCCATGCCCCTGAGTGCCCCCCAATT